ATATATATATATATACAATATATATGTGTGTATATATATATATATATCTTTATGTAAATATGTTCACTTCAGTTTACAATCTCATTTTATCCAGCAAATCTGGTATATTATCTGCAGGTTGAAGTGCTATTAGATTTTTCAAAGATATGAAAAATCGTTTCTTAAAACGTTTTATCTTTCTAAATTCAGTTCTAAGATACACACACGCAATACTATTATTTTAATTCCAAATAGAAAAAATACACTGTCTCTTCTAACTCGTGACAATATAATTGTATACGATACATAATATCTCCATAATAATCCGATATACATAATTCTCCACAATATAATTAGTGCGAAACGCACTCATCATTTTATCTTTAATCGTAAAAAAATTACAATATAAACATAGATATTTTGTATACTAATTCGATAGAAATCTTCGACCATCGAAAGGAAGATACATTAAATCATCATCCGGCTTCACGAAAAAGACTAGTTATCTCAAGTGACGTTATCGCACATACATGCATATTGGAGCTGTATCGTTAACACTGAGGTTAAAAGAAAGAGGCAAAGAGTGGGGCCAACGATTTCCGAGCATGTCTGACGTCTGACAACGCGACAACAGTCCATTTCGTATCGGAATGAACGGAGATAATGCCGCCATTACGGGTACCTCGATAATTGATTTCGTCGGTAGTTTGTTTGCCAGAGAGTGCTTGACAAGTGGCTTGCTACCACAAAATCTATTCTTTTCGATAAAAACAACGACCGACGCGTGCATTTTGAAATATATACAGAAAATATCACATTATATTTACGATACGCTTTGTTATAAAATACGCAGTGCGGTTTGCAGTAGTGACGTAGATTCAGTGAAAATACTGGTGTTACTGTTCAAATTAAATACGGGAATATTATACAAAAAGGAATATCGTGAACATTGTTCACCAATTCTCTGCTTTTTCATTCCTTTCCTCATTTTGCTAATTCTTGCGAATGAGCGCTCTCCACGATTCCACCTCCAGGTGTGTCGTCCTTCGACAGCCGTGTGGCGTCATCGCTGAAGCCAGTCTGACTAGTCTAACAGTGTCGTAGGATCAACAAAGATAACTGATAGTGGCCAGTTGAATCGAGTCTTGTGTTGTTTGGATTGTACTTTGTTCCTGCGGATCAGTGCATTCTTCAACAGTAGGTGGAGTCAACGAAGTGTGCCGAATACTGTCGGCGACTAGTTTGAATGAAGTTTTCCTTTCCGGGAAAACATTTTCCATGGTGACGGCATCATGTCGTCATAGATTGTTGGTGGATTTAGTGTTGGCAAAGTGACCGCCGCCAGCACAAAAGATGATTTGTGCGAGGTAATCTCGAATATGAGTCAGTCAATCCTTAATTTAGCGGATTGTTGCCGACCGGCTACACTGATTTAGGATATTGAGTTGGGATTTTCCGCGGGATTTTCTGATCAAGCTATTTATTTTTTATTTTACCGAGTTTAATAAAATACTTACAATAAAATAAGATTCCTTATATTAAAACAATTAACAAATTACAAATGGGCCTTTAGGAATCGGCGCTGTAATAATTGCGCGTTTATTTCGATTAATCTAAAACAATCCTCTATAAATAATATATTTGTCGTTCACGAGTTATAGAGGATTGTTTCAGATCAATCAAAATAAACGCGCAATAAAATACTTTAGATATGTGTTTGTTTGAACTTTTTGCATGGTTTATCTTTTTCCTTTTTTTTTTCAATATGGGAAGAAAAAGAAAGATAAACTACGTAAAAAATTCAGCTAAAAAGAACAAACCTATTATCTATTATAATCAAAGATTAAATAATTTTACCTGAGCAAGGGTTACCATGTTAATTAGACACTTGCCATTGTGATATAGATAAGCCATTGATCAGCCAGATTTGAGCGTAACTTATATTCTGCAGTAAAATATATTTTAAACGACGAAGATATTACGACGTTTAGTTCACGTTTCTTCAGCGTGCTAGTATAATTGATGTTCATAATTTGCTTACGAAATACTCAATTCGTTGTAGATGTTTTGTACGCCTCATCGTTTTTAAATTTCTTTGCCGTTCGCTTTTGTTATACATACTTTATCTGAAACACATTCTATTGTGATTAACGTGAATCTCCATCATCTGTAGAAACAGAGTTAAAAAAAATATTAATATTTATACAGAATAATATAATGTTACTGAAACATTTACGTATTAATCGCGCTGACATATTTTTAAAATAACGATTACGATAAAAAATTCAATGTCAAAACACATTGACGTACATTACGGTAACTATACATTATATGTATATACGCATTCAAAAAAACACGCTCGTGATGACACCATGACTCATCAGAATATGATATCTCATTCCAGCAATATTACAAACTTCTGTGCTGTATGAGATTATAAAGAATTTATTTACTAAATCGGGAATAAAAATATTTAGGATACGCATTTAATCGATTTACGATGATTAAATATAAATATTCGTAAAATTAAAATTTATAAGTGCGATTTCTACCTCGTATGCAGCATGTGTATAATGTTGGATCCTTGTTTCATTAACAGCCAATGAAGTTTAAATAAAAATTTATCAAATACCAGATTTTCTTTTTAATCTGTTTATTTAAGTTTCTTATCAATACTGTTTATACTGCAATTGTACTTTGATTTGCGAAGTTTCGATCTAATTTTGTTTATTCTTCACTTAATCGCGTTATCGTTTTATAATTTACATAATTTTTTTGCTTCAAGTATTCTATTGCTGTGTAAAACAAGGATCCAACAGATATATCCGGTAGTGTTGATTAGAAATGTTATTACATTCCTCAATGGTTTCGAGACATTAGTCAATTTTAAGCACAATTCAAATTATTCTGTTTTTTTTTTTTTCAAATTTTACAAGAACTAGAAAACACAATATTTTCAATTAAAATTACAAAATCTGGCGAGAAATTTTGAGTTTGAATGCTTTGAACGTGGATAACTAAGATGAATCAAAGAACTGAAAAGGGTACGGGCAGTAGTAGTCAAGTGTGAAACTTCTTTATTCACTAAAACGCGCTTACATATTTATACGGATTTAAGATGAATCATTTTTAAGATAAAAATGATTCTTTTTCGCAAACTATTATAAAATACTACATTAACATAAAATCATATTTTCTCTGTGCTCTATCTCAATCTGATTTTCTCTTATCTCAGAAGAAAGAAAAATCAAAGTATTAAACAGCACATTTATATCTCTAGTACAGAAGTGAAAAGATCATAACGATTTGACGAATTTATCTAAAGACCCTATAGTTATTTCTTCATAAACGCATTCTGCTCCATGTGGCGTTTATAGCATTTTAAAACATATTCGATGTAAAAAAAGGTGAATTTTCCGCGTAGCGCATTGGTATGGTGACATTGGTACAACAGCAGCAGCCAACGCTCGACGGTCATCAGTGTCAAAAAGATCAGGACCACGTGAATGATGGTACTGTTGTGTCTGCTGAGAATCACGCGGTCGACAAGTTTCACGGTGAAGCTGCGCACTCGGCGAGAGAAACCGCGGTCGTCGCTCCGGGCAATGGTAGCGTTGGAGATTCCTCTACGCAGTGCAGTGACGTAGACGACGATGAGGAAGAGGAGACGGACGTCGAAGAAGGCGGCAGCTGGATCACGAATCTGCCGGTATCCTCGACTATCGTCCAGCAACATCAAGCGGTTGCCACTACAAATGGCGATGTCGTCCTACCAAACGCCGATCCGTCGAATTTTGGTGACGTTTGTGTGAAAAACTCAACGAATGTGCATCTAGGTAACAAGACCTTTTACAAGGGTCCGGTTACCATAAAGCAGTTCGTTTACACGAATCCCACTCCCATCCAGGATGCGGGTAAACTCGACGCCAACGGCTCCTCCGACGTTAGCATCTCGGATTTGTCGACGAATAAGGATAATAGAGCCGCCAACGGACCCATTTTTCCGCAAAATACTGAATTATCTAAGGGTAATAATTAGATTGTTTAAATCCGTTGTTTTTAATTTATTCTATCGTCTTTTCTTTCCTCAATCGTCTTTCCTTTCCGGAGCACAGATAAATACGAAATTAGGTTATTGAAATGGATAGGTTTCGTTTTTAGATTTAAAATAACAGGATAATTTTATGCAAGAAATTACGCGATTTTCGCACACAATAAATTGAATTACAATATAAATATGTTTTAAATATTTTAATATCATTTGCAATAAATATTCTAGTAATAAATATCTAAATAAATTAAATTGAAAAAATCAATATTCGCCTTAAAAATGTTCAATTTATCAACATATAATAACTTAACGCATAATTACTTGTGAACTGATTTTAGTAATACATCGATGAACTTCAAACATTGTAAGGTAACGGTTTTAGTAACGTCTTATAGTAAATTGGATGTACTTGTGCACACTCATGCATATTAAAATTGTTACACACAAATTAACGTAAAGTGTCTAATATAAATGTAAAAACAAGTGATGTAAACCATGAAGGTCTTAATACATTTTAATGTGTTGTTAATTAAGTAAAATATTTGTTTTATATCCGATTCATTTATAGATAAAAAACTAATTTAATTCTTAATGTATATTGTAATAAACTAGTTTATTTTTAAAGATCCAATAAACGTTGCTCGAGTTTTTTTATTTTTCTAATTACTAATTTTTGTTTAGTAATCTCAAGCTAGATATTTTACATATTTTAATTTATTTGCATTTTACTTTTACACTGATTAGATTAAATTAGTGTACAATGGTTTTAATATGCATTAGTGCGCACTAGTGCATCCAATTGAATTCGCTATTATTTTATTGTTAGAGATGTTATTTGACGTCACCTTGCTATGACGTGATCGACATAGCTTCATCTGATAGACTCAAAGACGTTATTAAATCAAATTCTCTTTTTATATGTAAACGCTTTAAAATGTGTACATAGTTATTTAAAATAATATATACATATAATTGCATATACATATAAATAAAGATAAATATCGTATATATTTTCATTACCGATTAGATGAATCTGATAAGAATCGATGATATATGATATCATATTTATCCATCTCAAAGTAACTTTGATAGTTTCTTTGAAGCGTACGAAGTATAATAATCAATCAAACTGCAACAATTTTTAAAAACCATTTTAATGATATAACAAATATCATTAATTCTTTTGACTAATGGTTTAACTGTCACAACTATGTCAGAATATAAGCGAGTTTTAATATTGATAATATATTAAATTGAAATTTGTTCTTACACTTTTAATTATTACAAGGATTAAAGTTTTACACGACTGTGAATAAAGTAACAGAAGAGTGGCATTAAACAAGAATTATAAAACACGAAAGATTTAATGCAATTATACACCTCTCGCTAAACACGCGCTTTCCAGCGTAATAATCATGTAATTTTATCCAACGCTACTACGTAGCTCATAAACTTGTTCTAATAATCGTTCTAAATAATACAGTACTTTATAATTATATATTCTAGTGACGCAATGGCTTTGGACGTGGAGATGTGCGGCTTTATCATGCGTTCTAGCTTTAATACTTCTAACTACTATAGTGGTCACATCTGTATATTTCATTCATCACCCGGACGCACCAGTCTTCCCGGAAATTCCAGATTCATCAGTCGAGGGTAATTTCATCTGGAAATTTTGCAAGCACATAAGACAAACATTATCTTAGCGTGATTACAAAATTTAAATCTGTGTCTGCATTCCATATTTATTCTAATCTGTAAAAAGCGTGTCTGTGTTTTGCATGAATCGCATATTAAAATATTTTGCATTTTCATATACTTTGCATAGTAATGTTCCAGATTTCATTGCAAAAACTGGCGTAATTGTCTGATTAAGATTATTACATTTGGCATCTTTGGTAAATTAGAGTTTTTAATTAATGTGTCTGCATCTTGAACGATATATTTTATTTTCCTAATTTTCAGGTGTAACTTCGGTACGCTTTGTCGAGAGAAATGAATGGGGTGCGCAGCCGCCCTCGGATCCCCTTAAAAAAATGAAGCTGCCAGTACCATATGTAATTATTAGTCACACCGCAACGGAGTTCTGTAGCACGCAATCAGAGTGTACATTTCACGTGAGATTTGCTCAGACTTTTCATATAGAATCTAGAAAGTGGTCAGATATCGCCTACAATTTTCTTGTCGGAGGCGACGGTCTCGCATACGTTGGTAGAAGCTGGGACTATGTTGGTGCTCATGCCTTCAATTTCAACAACAAGAGTATCGGTATTTCCTTTATTGGTACATTCAATTCGATCGTACCACCGAAAACGCAATTACACGCTGCGCAAAAAATCATAGAGATTGGCGTCAAAGCCGGGAAAATTTCGCCAGATTATAAACTGCTAGGTCACCGACAAGTGTCAAAAACTTTGAGTCCAGGAGATGCATTATATAATGAAATTAAAAAGTGGCCTCATTGGTCACCTCAGCCTTAACTCGATTGTTTGGAAGTTTAAATTGTGAATAAAATACAATTTTTGAAAATATTTACATTATTATCTTTTTAATATGTAGTTATTCATTTGTCTATTTTTTTCAGCTAAACTTCTTACATCAGTTTTCCTTCTTTTTTTTATGAAAAGAAAACATCGTGCAAAGTTCAGCTGAAAAAAATAGACCATAATAATTCCGAGTTTAGATAACAGTTGACTGAAAATATTTACGAGCCTACTACTTATACTGTCACAAACTGCTCCAAAAGTAAATCTTTTTGAAACAATTCAGTCTTTACAGACTTGTAGTATAAATAAGTTCAATTATTAGAGTGTGTGCCAATTAATGAAAGAAAAGAAATGTATACTGAAGATACAAAAAACATTGCACTGATCAAACTTCATAACAAAATTAACACATTGGTGGTTAAATAAATTTGTTAAAATTAAAAATCATTTTAAAAATATATGTACAGATATTAAACAAAATAAAAAAAATATTACAGTAAAAGAAATTGAAAAGTAGTCCATTTTCAACTATCTATTATAGTAAGGAAGAAACATAT